ATACGCCCCTCCCAAACACGAACTTTATTTCTGAATTCTTGGGTAAGGGCTTGAAGAGCAAATCCAATAATTAAAGAACCCCACCGCAAAGTGAAAGCAAAATAAACCCCGCAATAATAAAACAAGTAAGCAAGCAGATAATATAGAGAAAGTGGGCCCCACATGATTTGCGCACAACTATACCATCATATTCATATATGATTTCTTAAAGTGCAAAGAATGGAAAGTCGTAGTTCTGTAGGAAGATTTTTAACTTCCCTAAACAGAATAACGGTTCTCTTATAAAAGGATGGCTGGTAGTACTTTGCAACCCCACTGCACATTCAATGTCTCGTGCTTGCTTCTCAATAAGAAAGAAATAAATAAATTCATGTATGGCTTCAGTTATATTTATATCTGCCTTGGTTTTTTTTTCAATTGTCTTCATCCTTCTATTTGCTCTGGTTGCTTTTAATACACTTATTTTCTAAAAAATTTTTAATAATACACACAAAATTCACGTATTATACATATAATTCTCACACATTATTGAATACAAATAATATATGTTAAAAATATTATATAGTGGCTGAACTTTTAAATTGTAATTTGCCAAATTTTTGCCAAATAAAACACGTACGTATATTGGTATAGCCGCGCGGCTATACCAATATTAATATCTATAAAGTATAAACTAATGCAACTAGGAGGGTCCTTTTTTCATAATTTTTATTTATTAACGAGTATAGCTGAGCAGCTATTCGAGGGTTTTTCTAATTTTTTGTATAAAAAGAAATAGTATATATAGGCGCGTGGCGGCATGCCTTTTTTTAAATTTTTTTAAAGAAATAGTATAGCCCGGCGGCTATACTCAGTTTTTAATTTATTTAAAGGAAATAGTATAGCCGAGCGGCTATACAAGGGTGTTTACAATTTTTTTTAAAAGGAATCATATAGCCGTGCGGCTAGACACGGGTTTTTCCAAATTTTAAAAAAAATTAGTATAGCCGGTCGGCTTTACCCGACTCTTTTTTTTTTAAATTTTTTTAAAAATAAATAGTATATATGTTGTGATCCTCGTTTTCTTTTATATTTTTTCTCCGATTTTTGTTTATCAATAAGAGTAGTTTAGAGCATTATCCATTACTATTAGGCCATTACCCGAGTCTGTATTGTCCCCTTTTGATTTTTTACTTTTTCAGAGTTATTACCCATATAAAGAATTTAGCAATTTCACGTTTAATATTGTACTATACATGAACGTACCTATATTTCAATAATACATCCGTGTTTTGTACACGTCTTAAAGACTCGGTAAAATTCACGTTTCTTAAAAAGCAAACATACAATACTCGTATTGAACATGTATGTATGTATTTTTCATTTTTGAAACGGGTGGCTATACTTGGGTTTTCCAAATTTTTCTATAAAAAAACATATAGCCGCACGGCTATAGGTGGTTTTTACAAATTTTTCTATACTCAGTTATTTTCCAATTTTTTAAAAAATAAATAGTATAGCCGGCGGGCTATACTCGGTTTTCCCCAAAAAAAAATTATAAAAGAAATAGTATAGCCGAACTGCGATACCCTGTTTTTTCGAATTTTAATTAAAAAGAAATACTCGGATGTCCTTTTTTATAAAAGGAATAGTATAGCCGCGCTGCTATACTCGGTTATTTTTTTAAAAAAAATTAAATATAATGTATTTAAATACTATAGCCGTTCGGTGATACTCGGTTTTTTTATATATAAGAAATAGTATAGCCGCTCGGCTACAGCCGGTTTTTTTTTTTCAATTTTTTAAAAATATTTTACTTCTTCTGAATGTTTTGTTTGTATATCTCTTATTATTGCATCTTGATTGTCTATATTTTAAATTTACCGTATTTTAACCTCCTTTATTTGTCAGTCTTTAGTTCATAAAATAAATGTAATGAAAAAAATCTAATCTCAAGTCAAATAAGCATTACCAACATGTCAATCCCAATGTTCGAAACAAGGTGGTAGGCGGGCTGCAAGCAGGGGTCTAATGCCTAGAGAAGTAATCGGGGGCCCATGTCTTCTTTTTGTTTTTTTCATCAACATATAAATGCAATTTTCCTTCTCAAACCCTAACTCTAACAACGAGTCGTCTTCCAGCCCCTCTCTCAGACATAACCCGCGATCTATCTTCTTCCTCAATCCTCATCTCTCTGTCTCTCGCTCATAGCACCATCGTTCCCTGACCTTGGAGATTCCAAATGGCGTTTTTTTTTCTAGGCGCTAGCGTCCGCCTAGCCCGCCCACCTAGACCGCCTAGACCGCCTAGACCACCTAGCAACCGCCTAGCCCGCCTAGCCCCCGCCTAGCCCGCAAATCTCTATGTATTACCTTCAAACAGGAATCATGGTGGAGATAAGGAAGCCCTCTAGCAACACCCTGAATAATCTTGAAGCGTCGACCCCAATCAAGCACTGCTACTAGTGTCATTGGATAAGTAGTGGGTTCGCTCTCCTCATCATCAACGCGTAGTTTTTTCGCATGGTTGATGAGGAACTCAACTCCTTCATCACAACCAACTCTAGCAGCAACGTGGAGGGGAGTTTCACCCTTGTTGTTGGTGGTCCAAAACAATGGCGATTGTGGTGGAATTTTTTTGAAGAAATCTATGTGCTTGAACTCAGCGGCAATGTGTGAAGTATATTATTGTCCGTAGGCGTTTTCTGATGGAGAAGATCATCTGGTACGTCAGCATCTTTATTTTTTCTCAAGAAACCAACGTCACCTGATCTTGCTGCCTTATACAAGGAAGGATCCATGTGTATCAAGTAATTTTTATTGATATTTTAGTGGCCGCTATATGTAAGCATCTTGACTTGTGATGAACTACACAAAGCGTTTATACAAAGATTATTCCAATGCGAGAAAGTCTTTTCAGATTCTTTGCTCTTGGTCTTAAAAATATTGGATTCTTGTCTCTTCTCTAGGGTGTATCTTCTAGTAGTCTCACTTGACTGGACTTCAATTGAAACAGTACCATCTTGTCTTCTCTGGGGTGTATCTTCTAGTAGGGTGTATATATACAAAGATTATTCCTGTTCCATCTTTATCAATGAAACAGTTCCTGCTATTTTAACAACAAAACAATAAAAATAACATATACGCACCAAAACTTCTAATTGTAAAGGAATTTTGATCATGCGACACGGGAAAGCCTACACGTTCAAAGCCTAGTTGCTTGAACTGGAACAAGTTTACGAAAAACCATATAGCTAGTACTGATTATGAGGGAATAGTAACAGTTTGGGATGTAAATACTTGGAAAGTATGTGATGTTACTTACACATTCTGATTTTTTGTGTGTGATTTGAATTTGTGTACTTATTCCCTCAACCTTCAATTTTTGTTGCTCATGCTTAAATTTTCTATCAAAGTGTCGTGGAATATAGACAACATGAAAGCTTTAAACTGCATCTACCCAAAATAAATCGTAATTTTCATTTTGAAAATCTAGTACAATGCAAAAGCTTCAGTCAAAGAGTTAAAAGGTATTAAAGCAATAGCAGTACGGGAAGAAAGACACAACCTAACAAATATGATTTATTCGAAATACATGTAAGATAATACTTTGTTTACTACAGTTTGAACCAAGCGGCAAGTGGTAATCTCATCAATCAAGTATTCAATTTAGGCTTCAACAACAACACGGAAAGAAAGTAGTTTTAATCTACAACGGCTTTAGATTGTTATAAAAAATATACAAAATATAATTTTCCTTTTCTGTAAAGCCAAACACAAAAAAATATTATATTATAAATAACATATAAATAAATAGGAAAGCTTTTAAGGTATAACGAAATTGAAGAAAACAAAATAATAGGTAAGTAAAAGGAAAATAAATAATAAGTAAGAAGGTGAGTTTGGTACGGTGAAGCACGTCAAAGACGCTATCCTAAAGCCTTTGTAGCCTCCCTACGTGCAGGTACTGACGGTCTACAAGACTCCAAGATACGACCCCTTGTACACAAACTCAAGATCCGCTATGAGCACGTTCATAGACGGATATGGGTATCCAAGTCACAGAACCATTGCCAAAATAATAATATAAAGTAGAGAATATATATAAAAGTAGAAAATAAGAGAATTAGTTTGTGGTGGTGATTGTGGTATGTGATATTCTGATGGTGTAATGTGTGTGTTTCAAATGTGAAGGAGGAGTGGCCTTTTATAGGCATCTCATCAGGCGAGAAAACCTTTCACTACGTATAAAACCTGAGATGAAAGGCTCTATGGAACATTCTAAGGAATCTAAAATTCAACATAATACATTTAGTAATTCAGTGGTCCCAAAAATTAGTATAGCTGCTGGCCAGATGTAGGCACTACTGTATAATTTCTGGTACAAGGGGTCGAATTTCTATATTAATTTGGTATAGGCGGGCGGCTACACTCGGTTTGTTCCAATTTTTTTTAAAAGAAATAGTACAGCCGCGCGGCTATATACGGTTTTTTCAATTTTTTTTAAAAGAAATAGTATAGCCGCTCGGCTTAACTCGGTTTTCTTCAATTTTATGAATTGCATCTTCCAGGCTTACAACTTTTTGGGATTGAGAATTAGAGAGAGGTAAGAAATAGACATTGTAACAAACAAAAAAATGTTTCCTAGCCAAATGAACCATTCATTAAATTTGTATCTTTATGTGTTGTCCCCCAATTTAACAATACAACATGTCACACTGTTTTATAAAAGAGCACTAGCCGTATGACACTAATATAAAAGCTCAAATAAAAAAAAAGTAGAAATTTATAGTAGATAAATGAAGTATCAAGATTTCAAACAAAAGATGCAATAACATAATATTCAAAGTCAATACATTGCTTCCAACAACAACAAAAAATAATCAATACATTGCAAATGCCTCAATATATTTTCTTCTTTCAAAATCAAAATCGAACAAAAGTTCACTCCTACACGACACGGGGCCAAAAGGAAAAGCTTCACTCTTCTTTCAAAATCAAAATCACATTACTTTCTCTTGTGCAACCTTTCAATTGTGTATTCTAACCAATACTTTGATTGATGATCAAAGGGTAGTTTGTTTCACCCCCGGGTTCGACCGTCCAATTCTTCCAAGAGGAACAAGTTACAATTTGGAGAATGAATGCAAATTACAAGAACACCCATCTATAACAATTGACCTCTTCTAGTGTGAACCATAATCAACAACGTCATCTGTCGCATCAGAGCTTTTGAGTTAATTTCTGCCACCAATTTCCTTTCACATTCCTTCAAGTGGATACCATCCATCTCAGATTGCAAGCCACCACTCTGTCACTTTTGGATTCATATTCATCTTATAATTATCTTATTTCTTTTGTTAATTATATGCAGACTATAACCAAGGGAAAAAAAAAAAGAAAAAAAAAAAAGAGAGGTGACCATTGTTTATACCTTGGCACCAAAGTTATCACCAGACTGTTATCATCTTCAACTCGTCCCCAAACAAGTCCGTTATATCTATATGCAGCCTTTTTTTTTCTTCGTCTTATTCTGTTATATCTAATAGTTTGCATATAGAGATAACGGACTTGTTGGAGGACGAATTGAAGATGGTAAAAACAGTCGGGTGATGACTTTGGTGCCAAGGTATGAAAAATGGCCACACCAGTTTTGTTTATGCATAGCCTGCTTATAAACTATATGTAGTCAACAAAGACTGCTTATAAAGTAACATATCAAATTACAAATATAGAGAAAACAAACCCACAGAGACTCCAAAGCTTACTCTAACAGGAGCAAAGAGCCTGAGAAGTGAAACAAGAGAAGAGCATCCATTAGAAGAAGAGGCTCAGGCCATACATGGATAGAGTAGAGAGACAGAGGAGGCTGTGTTTGATAATTCAATAACACCCTTAAACTAATGCTAACTAGTTTAGCAGTAGAAGGGAGTTAGTGTTGCTGCAAGCTCATTCTGTTGCATTGATTTTATTGTATACAAAATATAAAATGTACATTTCTGATGCTGAGTACATTAGTACACATCTTCTAAGATGTAGTACAAATTGATTTGCAATGCAGTGCACTAGTACTCGTACTACAATGCAAGCTAACTTAAGATATTCCAAATAGTTTTGGTAGTTTCTCATCTCCCACTCTTAACTCAGTGATAAAACACAGCCTAATTATTGCTTGCTCACATCACAATCCAGTAAATAAATAAAAACATCATTGCAGCAAATGATGTATGCCGGGTTTGATAGAAAATCTTTGGACCAATCAACCAACTAACACTTGGTATAGTGACACATTTTCTATCAAATTCGAGTCTCCCGATCGATGGGGAAAAACAAAAATTGGGCCAGCAGCTACACTTTGATAAACGGAACTTAGTCTTCGATCGTCATTATAAAAGTTGGGCTGCAAACATCTCTCCGTGAGCACAATTTTTGGGCTGCACTAATTTAGCGTGTACATAGTCTTCATAGCTGACAACCCAAAGAAGAGTGTAGATATTAGAAACTTGGGACGTGCCTAATTCCAAGTCATGTGAGGTGGGCGTGATTTTGACAAGTGTAGGCCCTGATAACAATAAGAAATTTTCGTCGTTATCAACAACTATGCCTATGTAGATTTTATTTCTGTGGCTGTAAATTGTCAAATACAGCACTTCCACTTCCCCAAATTGTTCATACAAAAAGAAAACAAAGCAAAGCCATGGCTTCTTCTTCTTCCCCATTATCATCCAACACAATTACCACTTTTTACTCCACCGCCCCTTCAATCTGTCATATCTTTCCAAACAAAACCCAGATTTCCTTACTCAGAAATCGTGTCAGAGGATCATGTAAAGCAACAATCAATAGTGACCAAAACCATGTAAAATTTGATGGGAGGAGAAATGCGCTTGTTGGTCTAGGAGGGCTCGCCTTGGCTAATCTGAGCAGCATAACAAGGCCTTTTGGTGCAGCAAATGCGGCAGAGACCCCAAAAAAAGTAGCACTGGTGCAGAGCAGTGAGCTGCCCATAGCTTTGGACTCGGTGATCAGTGTGATTGTGGAAAGGCCTAAGAAGTCGAGGAGCCAGAAGGAGAAGGAAGAGGAAGAGGAGGTTTTGGTGATTGAAGGGATTGAGTTTGTGGCAGATAAGGCTCTGGTATTTGATGTGCATGTGAACGATGATGAGAACTCGCTGAGTCGACCCGACAAGTCCGAGTTTGCTGGGAGCTTGGTGTTTTTGCCGCAGTACAAGAAGAAGGTGAAAACCAGCCTGCATCTTGGGATAACGAACTTGTTGGAGGAAATTGGAGCTGACGATGAGAGCTTTATAAAGGTCACTTTGGTGCCAAGGTATGTCCTGCGTCCTGTCACCATTGGTGGGATCAAGATCGATTATTTTGCCTAGCCTTAGACTGAGCCTGCAACTAGATAATGAATTAAGATACTGAATCAAGTTGCTCTGTTTCATCCTCTATGAGTTTGTGTAACACATACGAGTTAAGTAGCATTGTTCTGATTAGTTAACCACAAAATCATGCAAATAAACATTTTCTTCATTTCGGGAAGACAAGTTTGAACAATCAATCTATATGTTATATTGGGAGAGACCCCAAACCTTCCCAACCCCAAAGGTCACAAGATGCCAAGCAAATGCAGATAAAAGTGAGGATGGAAGCTCCCGTAACACGTTCTTTTCTGCAGTAAAATTTTGGTGGAGTGCTCTCAAACAACACCCCAAAAGACAAAAAGCTATAAACTTAAGCAACAGATTATACTATTATTGGTTTTTGAAGTTGCCGCAAGAGATATCATTTATTATGGGCTTTTCGTGTATGCAAAGTCCTCTATGGATTTGAATAGGTGTTACACTGTAATATCCAATTTCTAAAATTAATTAAATATTATCTTGGCGAGTGCAAATTAAAGTCATTTTATTTGGGAATTTTGCTGGAGAGATCGCATTATACAATGAGTCTTTGTTTTGTTTATACTGCCGACACCAACTAGTCAGTCAAACATTTCGTCGAATAGTTGATAGACGAAAGCAACAATTAAGTATTAAAAACCCAGAGCCATCCATCAGCTATGGCTTCTCTTTCACTTTCACCTTCACCGCCATTACCCGTCATTCTCAATCGTAATCGTACCACCGCCTTCTCCACTTCCTCAATCTCTCAAAACCATTCTCGAATTTCCTTCTTGGGAAATCGTAAACCAACAAGCTTTCTAGTTAAAGCAGCGAAATTGGAAAGGAGAGAGCTTCTCATCGCAACTCTAGGAGGGTTCGGAGGTTTCTACGGCAGATCGAAGATGATTGGGTGAGAGGTGGTATTCTAATTCCTGAAGAATAAACCCATTAGGAATTCATTTTTCTTACTCATTATATCCTCACACAATATTCAAAATTTCAAATTTGTCATCTACTTTAACCTAACAACGAGGACATTTGAGTAATTAGAACCATTCAACCCCAATTCCATGTTGTTTAGTAAACAACTTAAAAAGGAATATGAAATCTAACTCCCCTCAATCCATATGGTTTAGTAAACAACTTAAAAAGGAATATGGAATCTAACTCCCATCAATCCATATGATTTAGTAAACAACTTCAGTAGGAATTCGGAATCTAATTCTCCTCAATTAAATTCCTCCCTTAATTCAATTCATCCTTAATTCAATTCCCCCCTAATCCAATTACGGATTAGTAATTAATGGATTGAAATTACGCATCACATTTTGAGTCATCCAACTTTAACTCGCTCACAAATTCAAAATATTGGGCTTGCCCAAAATCAGTCCAACACAAGAGATTCATGCCCAATTTGCACATAGCCTCCTCATTGGTCAACGTCGGGATTGTAAATTTCAAAACAAAAATAATTAAAAGGAAAGTGAGGCCTTACCAGATAATAATAATAAGAACTTATTTATAACAAGAATATTACTATTTTACTATTAAAAGGAAAGTGAGGCCCTACCAGATAATAATAATAAAAACTTATTTATAACATGAAGATTACTATTTTACTATTTTCAACCAGAGTCTATCCTACTAGACACACCCAAAATATTACTATTTTTCTATTTCCAACCAGAGCAGATAAAAGTGAGGATGGAAGCTCCCGTAACACGTTCTTTTCTGCAGTAAAATTTTGGTGGAGTGCTCTCAAACAACACCCCAAAAGACAAAAAGCTATAAACTTAAGCAACAGATTATACTATTATTGGTTTTTGAAGTTGCCGCAAGAGATATCATTTATTATGGGCTTTTCGTGTATGCAAAGTCCTCTATGGATTTGAAAAGGTGTTACACTGTAATATCCAATTTCTAAAATTAATTAAATATTATCTTGGCGAGTGCAAATTAAAGTCATTTTATTTGGGAATTTAGCTGGAGAGATCGCATTATACAATGAGTCTTTGTTTTGTTTATACTGCCGACACCAACTAGTCAGTCAAACATTTCGTCGAATAGTTGATAGACGAAAGCAACAATTAAGTATTAAAAACCCAGAGCCATCCATCAGCTATGGCTTCTCTTTCATTTTCACCTTCACCGCCATTACCCGTCATTCTCAATCGTAATCGTACCACCGCCTTCTCCACTTCCTCAATCTCTCAAAACCATTCTCGAATTTCCTTCTTGGGAAATCGTAAACCAACAAGCTTTCTAGTTAAAGCAGCGAAATTGGAAAGGAGAGCGCTTCTCATCGCAACTCTAGGAGGGTTCGGAGGTTTCTACGGCAGATCGAAGATGAGCCAAGCAACAGGGGATTTGGGTGAACCAGCAGCAGCATATGCGGCCGAGACTTCTTCAGACAACAAGGTTGTGGAACTCACTCAGTTCCCGATCACTCTTGACTCGGTGATCAGCGTGGTTGTGCCGCGGCCCAAGAAGTCGAGAACCAAGAAGGAGAAGGAAGAAGAAGAGGAGGTGCTGGCGATTCAGGGCATTGAGTTCTTGGCAGACGAGGCTGTGAAGTTCGACGTGCACGTGAACGACGACGAGGACTCGCTGAGTCGACCCGACGCGTCCGAGTTCGCGGGAAGCTTTGTGTATTTGCCGCATAAGAGGAAGATGGTAACGACCAGCCTCAGGCTTGGGATCACGGACTTATTGGACGACGTGGGCGCCGACGGCGATGACAGCATCAAGGTCACTCTGGTCCCCAAGTATGTGAAACGACCTGTCACAATTCGTCACATCAAGATCGAGTTTCTAAAGTAGCTTAGGAGAGGAGAGGAGGTGTGCCGTGTGATCTGTTGTGATGTCGTTTTTTGTTGTTGTATTTTCTGTTGTTAATGCTTTCTGTAATTCTGTTTGCTTTCGCTAATTAGCAATAATTATCCTTATGGCTTGCTTTCTGTTTCTCTGTTTTTTTTCCTTACAGATAATCAGACTGATTATATTTACTTGGGAAAATGCTAGATTTCATCCTAAACGAATATGAGATTTAATTTAAGAAACGAATGGATAGAAAATGGTGATTATTTATTTACTTGCTCCATGTCCTAATACTAGAGCTCTCAACAAGAATTCTATAATGAGGACCTTATATATGGCTAGGGGTCCATCGAGTCCCATCGAGAAAAAGCCCGGCCCGGCCTGTTGTGGGCCATGGGCCGGCTTGGCTGGATATTTAATGGGTTGGGTTTGGGATTAGGTGTCTAAAGCTCAACCTGGCTCGTTTGAGCCCATGAAAGCCCGGCCCGCAAGGCCATATATTTTATATAAATATAAACTTAGTTTTAAAATGAAAGGTCTCTCCTACTAGACATACCCATGTGCATGTGTACGGGAATTGTATTAAATTTGGTCTACCTAAGTGTTACTAAAATTAAATGCAATATTAATATAATGGATAGTCTTATCCTCTCCTCCATAAGATTTTGTAGATCTTCGACTTGGTTTGTGGATGGATCTAAGCACACGTCTCTACAAGGACCTTCGGATTACCACATGTGATTGTCATGCCTTCACTATAAATCTCACTGACTGCCATTACTCATCTCATCTGCCCTCCACCCTTTGAGATTATGACACCTTAGAATTATTTTTAAAAATATAAAATTCTCTTTTTAGATGTAGGTTATGCTATTTGATTAGGGCAGTGAATTCATTTGCTTGTATCTAAGTTCGAGTCTCATTGCTTTGCATCTAACTTCGAGTTTTATCTATAGATATATTATATTAATATAGAATAATTTGCACTATCATTGGTATATTTTTTTAAAAACAAAATAAACTAATAATTTGCACTATGATGTTTATATATTTTGTCTAATTATTAACAATTAATATACAACCATGCTCGCTATCAAATTACTAATTTCTTATTAAAAAGCTCGAGTATTATTATAACACAAATTTTGTTATATATAGTGTTGTATTGTAATACAATGAATGCAAATTGGAAGAGGAGGAGAGGGGATCCATTATCCATATGCCAAGGCTCGAGGTCGTCTGCCGAGTCGAGCTGTAGCTGATGATGGATGATATGACAGGATATTCAGAGAGATGACAAAGTGGACCCTCCCTCTCTTCCCTGGTGTTTAATTCTTACCGAGAACAGTTATGACTTTACCTAATCCTCATGGTCGGTGGTTCTAATCGGCCACCACTTAATATATTGCCCTTACCCTGCGGTTACTGCATTCCCCTCTCATCCTCTCTCTCAACTTCGCTACGGCTTCGGCTATTAATTCTGTGCGCCCACAGATATGATTGTAAATAGAGATAGATAAGATTGTAAATATGCCAAATTAATAAACCTTTCTTTCTGGATATTTTAATTTGAATGCCGACACTTCTTGTCCATCATTAATATGCATACAGCGAACAATTCAATTCGAGTTTTGTAAGGAATTAATTGCCATTTATGTTAAACGTTACAAAAAGTAATTCCTACATCTGTCATGTACAGTCAACACACTGATACTATACGCATATGCCACACCCTAGTAATATCACCCTAGTAAATATCCACATTCAACGTGGGTATTCTATATCATGTATCATACTATAAGGTTTAGGATTGTCCTCTACTTATATTAACACGTACGAGATGAATCACGTGACCGTATGATTGTAGGATTCTATAATCTCTCCGATGAGAGATTTTGCAATAAATATTATGTGCTAGATCGAATAACTTCTGGCATAGGTATTAATAAAAGTAAATTAAAGTCTAGAGATACGTGATGTTTTCGTAAAAGATAATTTTTAATTTTTATCTTTTCAATAAACATCGTTTTATAGGAAAATAAAAATAAATATAGTTTATTTTACAGAATTTGGATCCTCAGTTGGCCTTTATAAACAAGAGCAAACACGTTGAGCGCTGCACCGACCGAAGCAAAGCCATGGCCACTGCACCCTCTCCCACAACCATGGGCACTTACTCTTCTCTCATCTCCACCAATTCCTTCTCAACTTTCCTCCCAAACAAATCCCAACTTTCCTTATCTGGAAAAAGCAAGCACTACGTTGCACGCAGGTCATCAATCTCATGCAAAGCCACAAATAATAACAATAGCAATAATCAAAATGAACAACAACAAGAATCTTCTCGTTTGTTGGGAAAATTGGACAGGAGAAATATCCTCATTGGCCTCGGCGGCTTGTATGGCGCCACCACCCTCGACCCGAAACCATTCGCCTTCGCCGACCCGCTGGCCCCACCCGACTTAACCAAATGCACGCTGGCTGAAATCACCACCGGAGGTGAAACCGTTGCCTGCTGCCCTCCAGTGACAACAAAGATCAAAACCTTCAAACCAGACCTGTCGATCCCCTTGCGGACGAGGCCCGCAGCCCAGCAAGTGACTGACGAGTACTTGGCCAAGTTCAAGAAAGCCCAAGCCGCCATGAGAGCCCTACCCGATGACGACCCACGTAGCATGGCGCAACAAGCTAAAGTTCACTGTGCCTACTGTAACGGTGCATATCCACAAGTAGGGTTTACGGACGTTGACATCCAAGTTCACTTTTCATGGCTCTTCTTTCCCTTCCACCGCATGTACTTGTACTTCTACGAGAGAATCCTCGGCAAGCTCATTGATGACCCAACTTTCGCTCTTCCATACTGGAACTGGGACTCTCCAGATGGTCAGTTTTTAATTTCTTTTTTCCTTATTTTACGCTTAATTAAATGGTATGTTTGTATGGTTAAATTGAGAATGTACACATTATATTGTCAATATAAACATGTCTCCGAAAATAAGTAGAAAAATATACATTTTCCACTGCATTTTTATGAAAAATTTGTCTCAATACTTTTGTATATTTTCATATGGCTCCTTAAAATTGTGCTCCTCACTTTGACACTTGCTATGTTTCTGTAGGCTTCCCAATTCCGGACATTTATACTGACACCAGCTCCCCACTCTACGATCAGTACCGAAACGCCGACCACCAGCCGCCGGTTCTGGTGGACCTCGGCTACGGTGGGACAGACGATGACGTGGACGACCAGACAAGAACAGACGAGAATCTGGCCATCATGTACCGTCAGATGGTTTCCGGTGCCAAAACTCCCGATCTGTTTTTCGGCCACGAGTACAGGGCCGGTAGCACAACCACCGGAAAATACGCCGGCACCATCGAGAACAGCCCTCACAACAACATCCATCTATGGGTCGGCGACCCAAACCAGACCTACAAGGAGGACATGGGCAACTTCTACTCCGCCGGTCGTGATCCCCTGTTTTACGCCCACCATTGCAACGTGGACCGCATGTGGAGCATCTGGAAAACCCTCGGAGGCAAGCGCAAGGACATCACCGACACCGATTGGCTCGACGCCGAGTTTCTGTTCTACGACGAGAACGCTGAGCTTGTAAGCTGTAAGGTTCGGGACAGCCTCGACACAGCGAAGCAGCTTCGATATAATTACGAACCTGTGAGTCTTCCGTGGCTGTTCACAAAGCCAACCGCTCGTAAAACGAAGAACAAGACGAAAGCTAAGGTGGCTGCGACGCAGCTGACGTCGAAGTTCCCGGCCACATTGGACTCAAAGACGACGGTTGAGGTGGCGAGGCCGAAGCCGAGGAAGAGGAGCAAGAAGGAGAAGGTTGATGAGGAGGAGGTGCTGATCATTAAGGACATTGAGTTCGAGGGTAACGAGGCGGTGAAGTTTGATGTGTTTATTAACGACGACGCTGAGTCGCTGAGTCGGAGGGACAAGTCCGAGTTTGCTGGGAGCTTCGTGCACGTGCCGCAAGGGAAGACGACGAAAGCGAAGACGAAGACGAACCTGAAATTGGGGATAACGGACTTGTTGGAGGACTTGGGAGTGGAGGATGACAGCAGTGTGCTGGTGACCTTGGTGCCTAGGGTTTCGGACTCGCCGATCACCATTGGTGGGTTCAAGATCGAGTATTCTTCTTGATCTTAATTAAGAATCGAGGCCCTTAATTAATTAATAAATTTGGTGCTTGTGTTAATGTCTCTGCGGAATTGATGGCTTGCGTTGCCCTGCTTTTAGTTAATGTGATTTTCTATCAGTGTTTGGATTATGGAGCCATGCAATAACGTACGCTGGTCTTTCCATGTAATTAATATTCCATTGTTTACGCGGATGGAATATGGATGTTGTGTGCTTGTTCATCAATAAAGCTATTTCTAGCTAGTGCTTTGATTCACCAGTAATAGATGAGAAAGAGAGTCTACTATTTTATAACCTCTTTTTTTCTTTTTTCTTTTTTAAATAAGGGGAAAACAACATTTTATATTGATCACGTGGAAGGTAAGGCTGCAAAGAATTTCCCCAATTACTGATTTGATGAAGAAAACTGTGGTTCGTAGTTAATGATCTACTTAATTAAAGTTAAGTAAAGTAATAATTTTGGGGAGTATTTTTGCTCACCACTTTAATCCAATGAGTACCCTCACTACCCTTCTCAAAATGTGACACATGTCTATAAACTAACCATAGTTACATTTTTACTTTTTATTTTTCTAATCATTGTAGCAGTCCTCGCTTAGGGCCTTTTGGGTTTAATTAATTAGATCTCAAATCCCATTTCAATGAGACATACCTCTCCACCTCTCTGCAAAACTTATGAGGCAGAAGATGGAACCTCGTGGTCACCTATATCTTACACCCATCTGTATACAAACCCAAAAAGTTAGGAGAAGAGGGGTTGTTGCCAGATGGGTGGGGTGGCTGACGAGGTTGGAAGGGTGCACTACAACAAAAAAAAAAATTAAAAAGGCAACAGTCACCATTATTTGGTGATATTTGCAGAGGTGGCTAACACTTTTTATTATTATTTATTTATAGTGGTGGGATGGCTGACCACATTGGTTGGGTGGGTGAGTGTGTGGACCTGTGGTGGCTGTTGTTGATGTGGCATCTTACGAGTATGTACATATAAGGCACATCACCCCCCTTTCCGTTAGTCGATGTGGGATCTTACAGTTGTGGTGGCTGTTGTTGGGTTTTTATTTTTTCTTTAATAATTGGTTTTTGTTTATCTAATTTATTAAAAGGATTTTCTCTCTCATGAAGAAATTAACTATGGTTATATCCATAGACATATGTCAAATTTTAAAAAGGGTGGTGAGGATATACATTGGGTTAAAGTGATGAGCAAAAATGCTACGAATTCAAAAGGAAAAGGAGAGGATCCTAAAAGGATTTGGCATCTTTTTGTTCCCAAAAATAGTGGCATGCACATCTCATGATTGGGATGGTTTCTTCTAAGTTTCACGTGGCACGTCTTGTTCTGTTGTCACTAAGTGACCCATAATTTTTTTTAGCTGAAGTGCAATTTTAAAAGGCTAAAAATTTTATAAAAAAATGACAACCTAATATCTTTATAATTCAAACAATACCAATATCATTCATAATTCATTAAAAAAAAATTAAAATTAACCTATAATTGTTGTCGACAAAATTTCATATTATGAAAACCTCAGATTAAAAAGAAAAAGAAGAAAGAATTGTTTAAACCCATGAAATCATTGCCTTGTTAAAAAAATTGTTGTTTAAAGCACACAGAAATTAAAATTAACCTATAATTGTTGTCGACAAAATTTCATATTATGAAAACCTTAGACTAAAAAGAAAAAGAAGAAAGAATTGTTTAAACCCATGAAATCATTGCCTTGTTAAAAAAATTGTTGTTTAAAGCACACAGAAAGAATCCTTGTTTAAAGCCCATGAATTTGGTTTCCTCCTTCTTTTTTCGCCATTGTCCAAAAGAACATCGTTTTGGCAAGGACTTTTAAAATAAAATTAAAAAAATAGCATTGTGCTGGTGTAGGGGCCTTTTTCTTCCGGCAGCAAGTGGGCTGGGCTGATGAAATTGTCTCCTTTGTCTGAGTTCGAAAATTAAGCCCCAAAATGCTTCGAAAGGGCAGCAAAGCCTTAGGAAGTATTTTGGTTATCTTCACCAACTAAAATGACAGCAACTTACAGATAATTTCTTCATGCTTACAGATAAACTTTTGGGCTTGGCATGAGAGGCATGTGGCATGGGAGCAAAATTATCAGGGGTTTAGCACTTTAGGAGAGAGAGAGAGAGAGAGAGAGAGAGAGAGAGAGAGAGAGAGCTGTGGGTTCCTATAAAGGTCAGAGGTTCTAATGGAAGGGAAGAAAGGTTCTAAGGAGGATTGGTGGAGAGTTTTGGGTGATTTTTGTAGCTTCCGGCAGCTTGACAGTGACTCTGTCAAAGCTTCTATCAATCTGACAAAACATGGGAAATAAGGGAAAATGGGCAAGGATAGCATGAAAATGGCTGAGTTTGCAAGTGAGAGAGAAAGCTTGCTCTCTGAAGGTTGTGGGTTGTGTTGTGTTGGGTAGAAGGGGCCATATTTATAGTTGCTGGGGTTTGTTCTTCTCCAAGAAACCCTAATGGTTTCTTCCCAATCTAGCTAAGCTTTCCTCTTCCTTTCTTCCCCTCTTTCTTGACTTACTTCATGGTGGCAAAGTCAGCTCTGCCCAATCCCACAAAATCATAGATTTTTGGGAGCTCCAGGCTTCTTCTGGCGGCTGCTTCAGAGGGGAGCTTCCATTTTCACCCATCCTCTTTCTCTTCTTTCCTCCTCTTTTCATTGCCAAATCTGATGAAGGAAAGGAAATGGGAGCGCCTGCTGGTCTAAGAGATAGCATCCTCTCCTATATGCCAATACCCCTTGGTTTCTTTGGATGCTTGCACTTGGAATTCGTTCTCCCAGCAGCCCCTCACATGTGAGTCTTTGGCCTTTCGTGGCTTTCTGCTTCAGCCAAGTGCTGAAGGCCTTGGATTCTTTTAATTCAAGTGGTATGGGCCTTTTAATATATAGAAAACCAAGCCATTTAATAAGTGGGCTAAATTCACCAAATATTTGGACTTTTATGGGCTATCTAAAGTAATGGATTATTTTGGTTAGGCTACTCTAGTTGGAGCAATGGTCTATTCCCTCTCTTGTGCTTACCCACATTTGGGCCTAAGAAATGGGATTGAGTCTCGAGTCCCCCAAGCGACCCGAGACTTCCATTTCTCGGCCCATCAATGGGCCCCATGATAATTCGTTACCATCCATACCACAATCCCACTCAAGCAAGACCCGGGCATTTGAGTGGCTTGGGCCCACTTAAGCTTGTTGTGGGATAATAATTTCCCGCTTGGCATGGCATGTCGCTTGGCATGCTTTTTAAGTATGACGCTTGATAGGATAATTGACACGAATTTGCAGTGCTAAATGCATCTTTATAATTTTAATCTCAGCTTCTATCGTGATAGATTTCTATTTGGCATGGCATGTAGGATATGGCTCGTGCATGGCAGACTTCTGTGTACTTCAAATTGAGTCTTTTTCCAATCATATATCGTCTTGGGCCCGGAATTTATTCGGGCCCAACCATGGATTTTTTGGGCCTCAATAGCTGGTTTGGCTGAGGCATTCTGTCGAACACCTGGAGTGCTCCACCACCAACTTGAGCACAAGGGCAATTTGAAGCAACTACATTGATTTTTCCATATAGAGGAAGTGCAGCTACACCTCCACCATTGTATGCTTCCATGTGCAATAGATTGCTTTTTTTTAAGTAAATGTCTTTGTCATTTTACTTTTATTTATTTTTATATTACTCCATTTACTTAAGTTTACAATGTAAATAAGGAAGTACCCCCCATTTGGATTCAAATAAAAATACTAGAAAATCAAATTCCCACCAAATCAAAATATGAAAAACCGGTTTAAGTGCAAAATACGATTTAGGCTAAAAATGATGGCTCATTAAGTCAATATATACTTCATACTAAAATCCCGTAAAATCAAGTTTTCTTATTTGATGTGTGAGGAATAAAAGCCGCCAAAAATTATCTTGAGAAAATGATTATTCCGAAAACTCATTTTTCATACTTAGTCAATATTTTCACATAAAACAATTTTGCATATATGATATGAATGCATGAAGGAACTAAGATCAATCTAGGTAAAATGCCTTAGATGTTCAATCCACTATGGTGTTAAACTCTATTTGGTTTATGTTAAAACTTATTGAAAATTAGTTTATGGAGCTATGAACTAGCGTGGTTTATATGATTTAATGTTTACTTTTATTTCTACAAAGACTATAGAAATTGTAAGTAGAAGGAACTAAGATCAATCTAGGTAAAATGCCTTAGATGTTCAATCCACTATGGTGTTAAACTCTATTTGGTTTATGTTAAAACTTATTGAAAATTAGTTTATGGAGCTATGAACTAGCGTGGTTTATATGATTTAATGTTTACTTTTATTTCTAGAAAGACTATAGAAATTGTAAGTACAAAAAAAAAAAAAAAATCATTAAATTTTAAGCTAATAACTTTAACTAGCCCACCCGTTGAAAAATTCATGGTTCCGCCCTTGGAAATGACTAAGCAAAAGCTTACGTGTTAAGAGTTTTTATTGGAGGAACCGATTTCATTTGCCCAACAGACAAGAAGCTCATTGGTCTAAGGGATTGCGATCCATATATATGTTGAAAATTACGAATCAGCCAGTCCAATTGCATTTCTTTTTCAGAGATCATGACTATCATCTTTGTCTTCTCTTCCTTAAATTTGTTTGTTTTCATTTGGTTATATGGTCTTTATAAACAGGACCTGCATACTTTTCCCATCAAAGACAGAAACAAAAAAAATGAAAAACAATACACAAGACAAAGATCGTTGCAGACAGAGACCAAGAGGTCCCAATGCATGTGGCGTAGGGGAATAGTAGCCATACAAATTGAATTTTGTAATTGTAAATGAAATTCAGGTTTTGGCAAATTCATTTCATAGTTGTCATAGTCAGTTTCCACCTCGTACTTGTAATCGTGCGGCTCATAGCCTTGCATATTTTGCACTTTCTATTTCGGACCTTATAGTTTGGATGGAAAATAGACCTGAATGGCTGTCTCCCATTCTTGCTAATGATGTTATGCTTGCTTCTTAATGCAATGATATGATCTGATTCTAAAAAAAAAATTGAGGAACAAATGGTCTCGCGTTTATTAAAAGTTAAGCACATCTTAATTTCAAGTGCTGGTGGAGATTCATGAAACTTTATCTCAATTTACGCACTTACTTAGCTTGAATATCAAGCAACAAATTCAATTCTGATGCTGCCAATCGTGACAGTCTGAGCCCCAAACCTAGGCACCAAAGTCACCACGACACTCTCA